AATTCAATTTTAAAAGAACTTTTTTTTTAAACCCACCTATAACTTCAGTTGACCTTCTGCATTCATGGATTCCCAACTTTGGATAGAAAATACTGTTATGATCGAAGGTTGGCTAAATCCATGGTTGCACAACCCGGGAATACGAAGGGCCAACTGTATGTTTTATTTTTAAATATGTGGCAATTAAGTGGTTCTGGCCAGTTGTTCAAGGATTAACTATATTTTTATTTGTAAAGTTTGCAAATCAAAATGTAACAAATAATTACACATCAGTATTGGTAGGAATACCAAATATTATTTCACAACTGCTACTATGAGCTGCTTCTTCTTCTCTGACATGATTGACACAGATCCAGTCTTGCTCTTTGATACCATTCACTTCCTTTGTCAATGAGCTTCTTTCATGATGCACTGTTCTTGAATCTGGCTGTAGGTGGATTTTTGGTAGATGTCAGTGACGAGCAATACATTTTATATGAGGATGATGTTGAAATTTCTTCTTCGATTTCTAGTTATAATCTTTGGCTACCTGTTCTCATGATGTAAGCATACCATCTTTTTCAGAAGCATTCGCTCTCCATAGATGAATATTCATTTCATCAGACCCACATATAATGTACTGGCTGTCAGCAGTCCATTTTACACAGGTAACATGTTGTATCTCTTTGTTATATTTCCCCACTTCTACTTTTGTCCACAGGAATAGATTTATCAAAACTAGCGGACACAACCTCTTTCCCAGTGGGAGAGTAATTCACATCCAGCACTGCAGATATGTGATCCATGTGCACCATTGCAGGAGTGTCCAGTGCACACACATATGATTTAAAACAACAAAAAAGTATTTTTGTTTGCAATCAACATGTTTGTCTTAGAAAAAAAATTCACATCCAGCACTGCAGATATGTGATCCATGTGTACCATTGCAGGAGTGTCCAGTGCACACACATATGATTTAAAACAACAAAAAAGTATTTTTATTTGCAATCAACATGTTTGTCTTAGAAAAAAAGAATACAGCCCTGGCCAGTTTGGCTCAGTAGTTAGAGCGTTGGGCCCGCAGAAGGAAGGGTCACAGGTTTAATTTCAGGTCAAGTGCATGTACCTCAATTGCAGGTTCCCCAGCCCTGGTAGAGGTACGTGTGGGAGGCAACCAATCGATGTTTCTTTCTTCTCCTCCTCTTCCTCCTCCTTCCCTTCCACTTTTTCTAGAAGTCAATGGAAAAAAATATCCATTGAGGATTAAAGAAAAAAATACAGAAATAACTGTGAGATCTAATATGTGAGTTTAGCAAGTTGCAGGATATAAGGTTAAAATGGAAAAGTCCATTTTATTTCTATATACTAGCAACAAACCATTGTAAATTAAAACTTTTCAATATCACCAAGACAAAAAGATAACGTGTGCAAGACCTATACACTGAAAACTAAAAACATTGTTCAGATAAATTTTTAAAGATCTAGAGAGATCATATTCATGAATTTGAAGATAGAATATTAAGATGTTAATTCTTCTCAAATTGAACTATATATTTAAATCAATCCCAAAGAGAATCCTAGCAGTTGCTGTTTTTTAGGTAGAAATTATAAGCTTAATCTAAAATTTATACAGAAATTTGAAAGAGAATAAGCAAAACATATTTAAAACAGAAAAAAGTTGGAAGCAATGCAAATTCAAACCATAACAGTCCCCAGAATAGCTAAAATAAAAAAGTGTTGGCAAACATATAGAGCAATTAGAATTTTCATACATTGCTTGTGGAAAAGTAACTTGGTAAAACCAATTTGCAAAAAGTTTGGCATTATCTATTAAAGTTTAACATATGCTTTCTTTATTGCCACACTAATTCTGCATAATAAATTACCCCAAACTTAGTGGCTTATGACAACAGCATTAATTCTCATACTCATTGATCTTTGGATTTCTAAAATTCTGCTAATATAAAATGGGATTGCATTCCCATTTGCTCCAAATATGTTTGTTCTGAGAGCCCGCACTGGAGGGGAATGGCACATGATACATGGTCTTCTCACGTGCATCATCTGAACTCAAGAGCCAAATCAAACTATACATGGACCCTTCAGACTCCTGTTCATATCATGTCTGCTCATATTCTATCCGTCAAAAAATTCACATGGCCAAAAGCAAATCAATGGGGTAGAGAAGTAAGTTTGGCCAACCATGGAAGGGGGAAGAAAAGAAATATTTGTTGAAATGAAAATCCAAGTTATCATGTCCAGTATATCAACATGCCATGCACCCAACAGAAATGACTCATGTGTGTACTAAGATATATGAATAAGAATGTTCAAGCAGCATTGTTCATAATTGCCAAAAACCGGAAATAACCCAATGCCTATCAACAGTAGAATGGATAAAGAAAATGTGCTATATCCACACTTACATTTAGAGATTTCTCCCACTGAAAGAGTAGAGTGTTCCTTGTGGAACCTTTCATAAGCCAAAATGGTGAGAAGTGAAGAGAATCCCCCACTTTCCAAAATATCATGATATTTCACCCTGCTACATTAGTACACTAATGGCTTTTTTTTTTTTTTTTTTAGTGAAAACAGGTACTAATGTCTTTTATAAAAGTGAAGTGACACAATGCAAACTATTTGCAACTGAGAGATAACCTGTATACTAATGAAAATGAAAGAATAAATACACACAAAATTATGAGTCTCCGAATTTACCCCAAAGAAATCAAGCACAAAATCATTCAATTTACATAAATTTGAAACCACTAACTGATAAAGTTTAGGGATATACAATTATGCAGAAAACTGTCAACTGATGCTCGTTGGTGCCCGTTCAACCCCAACAGGAATCCCCAATTTGGGGTGTGATGAAGAAGGAAACTTGATTCAGTGCAAAACTACTAAATTGTTGCACAGCACAGCTGTGAGGCAGCCCTAGAACCAGGCCTCTCTCCAGCTAGATAGCTCTGTTCTGCTCTTCACTGGTCTGGTTCCTTCTACTCGGACAAAGAAGTTCAAGTGTTTCAGCTCAGCCAGGGAAACAGCCTTCATTGGAAAGAGAAAGTGCTTTCCCAGAGCCAGAGAGAAGCTGACTTACAGACAGAAGGTTCTACTCCTAGTCCCTGATTGATCTGTCCTTATGCAAATGAGGACTCCAAATCTTCACAGTTTGATTGGTACACTTTCACTTTCTCTCCTCCGCTCCCCTTCCTGTCATGATTTTGGTCAGAATAGAGCCACTCTAACTGAGGATGAAGAAGCTGATAGACATAGCTACAAAGCTCCTATTGGATGGAGAAAGCCTCAGTCCTGTTGATTGAAATAGGATTCCAGGAACTCCTATATAAGAGTTGGCTCAGATGGCAGAAACACAGTGCAGGCAGGTGGTTCAGTGCAAGCTTCTCCCTGAAGTGCAGTTTGCATGAGAGAACCCACGTGGAAAAGGCTGTTAAGCTTTTAAAATATTTTTGCTTTTTTAAAATGTAAGCCTGGTTAAGCTACCAGGAGTCCTTCTCAGGAACCAGTAGGTACCTTCTTTCTCAGGGTCCACAAAACCGATTAAGAAAGGTAAGGAATAGCCCAGCCTGTGTGGCTCAGTGGTTGAGCGTGGACTTAGGAACCAGGAGGTCACCATTTGATTCCCACAGGGCACATGCCTGGGTTTGGAGCTCTATCCCCAGTAGGGGGGTGCAGGAGGCAGCTAATCAGTGATTCTCATCATCTCTCTCTCTCTCTCTCTCTCTCTCTCTCTCTCTCTCTCTCTCTCTCTTCCTTTCTGTAATCAATACAAATATATTTAAAAAAATAAAAAAGTTAAGGAAGGCATTACCATGGAAGTTAGAGTAGTGGTTTGGTTTGATGATAGGGAAGGGAGTTGGGTATTAATTGGGAGGTGGCACAAGAGAGAGCATCTGGGGTTTTGGCAATGTCCTATTTCTTGACCAGGTTGGTGGTTTCATAAGTGATAAGGCATAGAATTGTATATTTTGGTTTTGTGTATTTCAAAATATCTATCTTATTCTCTGCTTCTACAGCCAACCTTCTTCAGTTCCTGAACACAATTTCACTTCTAGGGACTTTGCGCTTTTGTCCTTTTGCTTGAAAAGCTCTTCCTCCACATCTTCCAAGGACTAGTTTGGTCTGTTTTCATCATTGAAGTTTGACATGAAATGTCCTTTTCAGTGAGGTCTTGTATCTGTGCCTCCAGCCTCCAACCCCATCCTTCAACATCGCCAGCTTGGTTTCACAGCAGCCTTGTGCAATGAAATTCTGTTTTTGTTGTGTGTGCCTAATCAAGCACCCGGCCACAGTAAACAGGAAGAGATGCCATTTAATGAATACTTCTACACCCAACATGTGGCACAGGGCCTGTTTCATGGTGTCACGTGTAGAATGAGTCCTATTTGTAGTCCCTTTGGCTCTCTGCAGATTATAAATTTAGAGAGGTGTTTTCCTAAGCAACAACCACGTAAACAAATATTACATAGATTTGACATTTATTAAATTACAAGGACTAGATTTTGTAAATGTCACTTTCGAGCAAGATAAAACAAGCCTCACAGGGTCAGCTTCAGGGAGCAACGAAGGAGACGCAAACACACCACACCGTAGGGAAACTGACTCCCTCAACCCGTCACAGGGGCGCCTCCGCGATGGACGACACTCAAGCCCCGCGAGAAGACCCGCCCGCACGCTGTGCGCGCCACGGTCCAATCCCGGAGCGCTCTGCATCACTGCGCCTGCGCAGAGGCGAAAAGCAAGCGCCGCGTGGACGTCAGTCCCAGCCTGCGCCTGCGCGTCTTCTTCTCTCAGTGATTGGCTTCTACCTTCAGTAAGTACGCCGCAGTTCAATTTTCACTTTCTCTTCCCCGCCCCCCTTCCTGAGGCCGTGAGGTTTTACTTCCGGTGGCCCGCGCCGTCTCCGAGACTTGACTTGTTCCCTCAGGTCGCGGGGCATCTCGGGGGTCGGTTCTTTTCTGGGATCCTCTGAGGGAGGGGCGACGCTTGGCTGACTAGCGCGGCGGGGCCTGGGGGCTCCGAGCCTGGACGCCGGGCCGCCTGCGCATCGGGCCAGCGCTGCAAGGCCAGGGCCGTCCTCCTAAAGCACGAGGGCGGATAGAGAGACGGGCTGCGACGTGGAGGGTCCCGCGCGCCTCTGACGAGCTGGTGCTAACCCGGGAGTCGAGGGGCCATTGGCTGTCCGGGAGGAGGGGAATCACGCTGAAAGGAGACTCAAAGGCTCCCTTGCCGGGAACGAGACAAAGAAAGCGGCTTATTAACAAGGTCCGAAAATATCTGTCACATGTGGCTGGGAGGGATCGAGAGAAAGGAAGCGCGTGTGTGAGGAGCGGAAAAAACATATACAAGCATGGGGAAGACATTGAAGAAGAATCCCAGAATCTCGGGAGCGGCGGCAGCACAAAGAACAGGTAAAACTCCCCCCGTGTGGACGCTTGGGTTTGTGGACCTTCTAGACACCTGGCTACGGTGCATGGCGCAGTTGCTTGGGCGTTTGTGGCTTAGCTATTGCAATTTAAAAATTTTAAGTTGCATTTGCATGCGTTTTGTGAATGATTAATGACTAACGCACTCATGCCTATTTGCCCTGCTCTAGGGTGAGTGGGGTAGGAGGGGATGGAGTTTTCAGAGTCGTTTTTGCTTCGCTGCTTTTTGAACGTCTCCCCCTTTTTACCACTTGCGGCCATTCTCAGTGTCATCCTAATTTGTTTCTAGGAAGTCAGCATTTTACAAGTTGATATAGATGGGGTTTCAGAGTTTACCTTTCCCCTTTTTGAGGCAGAAAGTCTGGAACGGTATAAGCATTTCCTCTGAGTTGCTTGTTAGAGGACAGTTTCATCTTTATGGGCATTATAATAAACAGTTAAAGCTTTGCTTATTTGGTTTGGACTGACTGTTAAATCCTTTTCCAAAGGTTCTCTGTAAACTCCGAACCACACGTGCTTTCTGTGGAGACTTCATGGCAGTGTGTGACCCTTTCTTTTTTAAAGTAGTAGGTGTAAAAGGAAGACGTCTGTCCATGGGGAGGGTTATTTAGCAAACAACCGAAGTAGCGTCTTAATAGGTTGGTACATGCAACCCAGCTGTTTATCTGAGGGTGGCACCAAGCCGCATTTTGTGGGAGAACTTGGCAGATTAACCTCATAATTTGAAGAAGATACGTTGAAAATTCTCAGGTTTAATGTAATCACCGTTTGTCTGAAATCCAAAAATTTAAATATACCTCCCTGACCCTTCTTTATTATCCCTGTAAGGTAAAACTTAGGTGTTGTACAAGTTTATGGTGTTATTGTAGTTATATTAGTGATCTAAGGGCCCACAATGTTTTCCTGGAAAAAGGGTGTGTATATGATATTTAATATTACAGGATCTGAGATTGGTAGTAAGCCTACTCAGGAGGTTTATAACAAAGCAGGTACTCCTTGATAGTGTAAGAATACTCTTGTATTGAAAAACTGCCTTCTGGAACTAGATAGCGCTATGCAGTATGTTCAGTACATAAGTAAATAACCCAGACTAAAGAAAAAAAGTGACTGTACACAATTATTTTAGAAAGACAAAGAGCAGTGTTTTCAGGACATTTGCCCAAACGTTACCAGGTTCTCTCTTTAAAAAACAAAAAATTATTTTTATTGATTTCAGAGAGGAAGGGAGAGAGAGAAACATCAATGATGAGAGAATCATCGATGGGCCGCCTCCTGCACGCCCCCTACTGGGGATCAAGCCCTCAGCTCGGGCATGTGCCCTGACTGGGAATGAAACCCTGACCTCTTGGTTCATGGTTCCACAATGGCTGGGCGGATATTACCAATTCTCTTTAAAAGCTGTATTATGAGCATCTCCTGTAATCCAAACATGGTTGCTTAAATGAATTAAAATCTGCATTACCGAAAGACTTGCGTAAGACATAGCCATTTGATAAATAAATGCGGTATGATATCTATCTAGTATAATTAAGTAGATATGGCATCTATCAAATCAATCTTTCATCCCTTTATGAACTGTTTGTTATTTTCAAGTTTTTTCTCCATAACAATGCTGCAGTGATTATCTTTTTTGCTATTATAAACAATGCTTTATATGCTCATGATAATATTTCTGTAGAATTGATTCCCTATGAGAATGCTGGATAATAATACTGTTAACTGGCCCTCAGATGATTGTAGCTTTTATATTCACTCAAATGGTGTGTTTTTATCTTTCTGCTAGTCAGCACTGGATGGTAACTTTATTTCTTTAATATCTTACTAATTTTCTAGTAATTGAAAATAATAATTTAATTTAATTTAATTTTTATCTTCCTTGGGTAACAAGAAAGTTAAACATTTTTGGCCAGGTCGTATTCTTTGCTTGTTTATTTGGGGGGGCGGGGGGGGGGGGGCGGGGCAAGGGGATTCTGAACTCTTCTTTGACCTATATATCTGTTACCACACTGTTTTAATTATTATAACTTTATAACATATTTTGATACTTTCTTTTGAAAAAAGTTTTGGGCGCTTCTTTTGCATATTTCTTCCAGATGAAATTTAGAATCATCTTTTCAAGTTCTATAGAAAATCTTGTTGGGATATTGAATTGCATTGAATTCATAGATTAATTTGAGAAGAGACATCCTTTGAGTTTTTCCTTCTAAGAGAATAGGTATGTCTCCTTGTTTCTTATATTACAATTTTTGTTGTGAAATATACAATTATATGTGTACTCAGATTAATGGAACACTGCAAGTACCTTAGAAGCCTTTAGCATGTGCCTCTCCCTAGAAGCAAAGTATTCCCTGCCCCATCACCATGGTCATTCTGAATTTTGTGTTAATTACTCCATTGCCTTCCTTTATAGTTTTATTGTACTGTTTACTTTTATCTGTTTTCAACTTTATTTAAATAGAACCATACTGTATATTCTGTAAATTACTTTTGTTAAACATTAAACATGTGCCCATAGTTCAGTAATTCAGAAACTTTTTGGGCTCAGGCCTCCTTTACACTTTTAAAAATTATTGAGGACCCCAAAGACCTGTTGTTTCTGTGGATTATATCATATTAGACATTAAAACTAGCCAGTTTTAAGTGAATCTAGCATCTTTTGGTATATTTACACCAATAATAAAAATAAATCCATTACACCTTAACATAATAACATTTTAATGAAAAATAACTATTTTCCAAAACAAAAAATATTAGTGACAAGAGTGGCTTTGTTTTACATTTTTGCAAATATCTTTAACTAGTCTCTTCTGCTTCTGCATTCAATCTGTTGCAACATATTGTTTTGGTTAAAGTATATGAAGTTGGTTGCAAATATCTTTTCTCTATGGTGGTTTTTTTTATGAGAAGTTCTGGATTTAAAAATTTTTTTATTTCATGTCTGTATATTTGGAATTATTGAAATTGTTACTTGTGTGTAGTTTGGAATATAAATATAATTGAAATTTTTCTCTTGTAGCTAATCAGTTGTGGTAGTAATTACCATTGAATTCATTTAGGTCTGAAGTTCTGCTAGCAGCAGATTTTGACTAGTGATGATGTAATGTCTTTAATGGTTACAGTATGACTCATTTTTTATTTTCAATATATTTTATTGATTTTTTTTTTTTTTACAGAGAGGAAGGGAGAGGGATAGAAAGTTAGAAACATCAATGGGAGGGAAACATCAATCAGCTGCCTCCTGCATACTCCCTACTGGGTATGTGCCCACAACCAAGGTACAGGCCCTGACCAGAATCGGACCTGGGAGTGACCCTTGAGTCCGCAGGCCGACACTATCCACTGAGCCAAACTGGTTAAGGCTTTTTTTTTTTTTTAATTTTGTCAGTCGTCGTAAGTTAGATTTTTCTAGGACTCTGTCCATATTGTCTAAATTTTCAGTATTTATTGGCACAGAGTTGTTAAAAGTGCCCTCTTACTATCAGTGTCTGAAGCTTCTGTAATTATATCTCCTTTTTTATTTCTAATATTGCATATTTTTGTTCCGGTTTCCCCTCCCCCCTTTCTGTTAATTCATTTTGCCTGTAGCTTATTAGTTAGGATTATCTTCTCATTGAGTTTTTTTTTGGCTTTGTGATTATCTCTATCAAATATTCTTTTTTTGTGTTATTAAAAAAAAAAATGAAAAAAAATAAAACACATATACTAAAGCCTCTTTCTAAGGCTCCTTTCAGTTCTGACACTGTGACTCTACAAACTGCCTTACTGGAGGCTTGGGATGTACGAGGCATTGGACACTGCACTAGATAACTAATCAAATTCCCTTTTATTTGTTGCCATGAAGAGGCATTTACCCTAGTATTTATTAGCAAGGAAGCATAAAAGTTAATATAACTTCTGTGAAAACTTGAAACTTAAAATACAGTAAAACTTCGATATAATGGACTAATTTGGGCAAGGGGTGTCCATTAAAGCCAAAAATCTTCACCAATAAAAGAGAAAGATGCAAATTGACCATACCTTTGTGACGCCTACCAGCCAACCAGGAGTGAATATGCAAATTAACCCAACAAAATGGCGGGTTAATTTGCATATGCAGGCGCTGAGCTGCGGGGGACGGGACACTTGTGTTGTTACCATGGCGACAACACAGGTGTTCCACACTGCCCCAGCCACTTCAGGCCTCTGGGCAGCATGGGAAGGCGGAAAGGCAGCTCCCGCCAGAGCAAAGGCGGTGCTGGCAGCCAGGGGAAGGAAGGCCTATTCTTGCACGAATCTTTGTGAATCAGGCCTCTAGTTACATAATAAAGTAGTTTTTCTGAATGCATATGGTAAAAAATTGACAAATTAGATGTAGACAAGTTTATGTAATTAAAATTATGTGGAAAAGCTTAATTTCATCAAAAAAGTTTTCTATATGTATTCTGTAATTTTAAGTTTATACTGTGTGTGTCTAGTTAAATGTGTGCACTCACCGTCATTGAGAGTAAACAAATGCACATAGCTAGGGTGTGGCTTAGCACACATTGGAACACCGGGCCAGCAGGAGTTAAAACTGCTGCAGATGCCTGGCTGGCTCAGTGGTTGAGTGTTGACCTATGAACCAGGAGGTCACGTGGGGGGCATGCAGGAAGTAGGCAATCAGTGATTTTCTCTCATCATTGATGTTTCTGTTCCTCTCCCTCTCTGAAATCAGTTTTAAAAAACTGCTGCAGAAAGTCACACAGAGAGACAGCAGACACAATTATTTCCTGAGATGCAGTGTGATCACGTGCTAATCATTTGCTAATCTTTCACTGAATATTGCTTACAAGTGGAGACTCTTGGATTTACATTTACGTAGACTGTAGTTGTAGATACGTAATATTTAGTTATGTCAGTGAACTTATTACAGTGGTTTTTTTCCAAGTATGGCCTATTTACTAAAATTTGTTAAAAATAACAATGAAATAATAACAAAAAACCCTATTTATTTATAAGCAAATCTT